ATTTTTTTTGGGCTAAATTATATTTTTCGATAAAAAGAGTATAAAGGGGGCATGCCCAAAATTTTTGCTGTGCCCCCAGCCTACCTGGGACACCGTGCCACCAACCCTACCCAGTGGCACCGATCGATTTTCACTGATCGACAATCAAAACAACGAATATGCGCAATTTTTTAAAGTCATTAAATACTACATTAAGGTCAGATTTACAATTATATCAAGGGTTGTCTTATATTAAAATTTTGCAAGAATTTTTTTTTTTTACTAGATGAAATTTGAGTTACGGATGGTTTTTTAAAACACGCATGATTGTCACGTTGGGGTAGTTACCGTGTGATAATATTGCTATTTATACTTAATAAATACCGATATGAAAAAACTTTGTTGTATCGGATCTTCTTTGCGACCACTGTTATTAACTTGGACTATATTTAGAATTCCGTTTTAACCTAAGCAAATTAACAAAAAAAAAAGTTTCGCGAAAAATTAATTTTTATATTATAAATTCTATAATAAATTATATGGAAATGCCAACTTTAAAGGGATATACTGCAAAATTTTATTAAGATAACAGCATTTGTTCCTTAAGTAAAAAATGATCCCAAGCTAATTTTGGATTGGTTAGGCTTAAAAAAAGGGCGTCAATTTGGATCATGCCAAAATCAATAACTTAACAGGATTGACCGAAAAATCAATTTTTATCAGCTGTTCAAATAAAGTGTAATCTAGTCCAAGTTTGCTTAAATTGAGTGCTGACAAAATACTTTCATTATCACTTTACAAGTTACATTTAGAAAGATTTGAATGAATAACATCTTACGATTAAGATTATAACATCTAATCAGAATCAAGGTTTCGTTTCACTACGGCCTTGTGATTTTTCAAGTTGACGGAAATAGAGGATATATCAAAAGCAACCCTGCTGGATTGTGCAAACCAGTCCATCAAATTCAAATCATTATTAATAAGAGGAAGCAAGATAGCGTTGCATGAGAAAACACATACATTCATATAAGCATAATTTAATCTTTGGAATTATTAGATCAGATAAGTATAATTTAATCTATAGTTCCAATCCGGATAAATCCGTCATCCATTTATCCATAACTGAATTTATCCAGATAATCCGACAAATATTCGGATAATAGTAAACGGATATTCGGATAAATTCAGATCGGATACTTGGATAAACGGTTAATGGATCGGAACTCTAATTTAATCTGAATTATTAAATAATAACTTATTGTCAGGTTGGATATAAAAAATCTCGATTTTGCACTCACACCATTCTAGATTGCAGTTAACTGCTGCGTTCCTAGTATTAAAAATCATTAAAAATTTACTCATTTGCTATTTTTTCCAAGAAGAAACAAAAATATATCAAGCACATTAAATATATCATTTTTTATTGCCATGAAATCACTTTCAAATCTTCCTTTTTTCGTTTTATTCATTGCTATCATCTTTAGCATAGCATATGTGCCGCCCATTAAAGGTAAAATTTGAATGGTTAAGAAATATTGAATTTTCTCAATGCCTCAACGTATTGACTTGACTTAATCAATATATATGCAGGCTATACAGTATGGGTCCATAATAAATTGTTACCAGGTATGCAGGCTGCTGTCTTCGCGCATCCAGATCCTGATAGCGGCCCAGAACTTGCTTATGGTCATTCAATCGCTCACGCTGGTTTTAATTTGCCGATACCCGATAATGCAACCACGTTTTGGCTCACTTTCAAAGTTGTAGGTTCCGGTAGAGCTCAAAAAGTTCGCGGTCCATTCGATAATAATAAAGATTACAATTGGTGCTTTCATGGTAGCGATGCGACTTGGGATATAAACGAGTGTTAATTTTTCAATTAAAACTTGCTGTGCGAATACCGCACAATTTGGAAAATTTTTCTATGGCAAATAAAAAAAATCACGTGTAACAATTTATAACTGTACGCACCATTTACAAAACATTAATTTTGTCTGTGCGGCATCCGTATATCCATTCAAAAAAAAAGTGCTCAAAATTTTATTTCTGTATGCTGCGCACAGTGAAAAATAATCACTGATACAGTGACTAACTATCATAATTATTGATCCACTTGAAAAAAAATTTGAACTACAATAGTTCGAGACCTAATAGATGCATATCTCCGAATTTTAAATATTATAAAACTTGTATCATTTATAATAAATTTGAATATCAGTTTATATATAAATTTGTAATTTTAAATTGATTTTTTTATGGTGCAATATTTCTGTCTATATATCTATATCTATCTATCTATTATATTAAAAAAATTAGAATGTTTCACAAAATTCGGACATTGCATATTCGTGTAACTCATATCTATAGAATTTATGCAAGGTTGAAGATCCTTGCATATTCATGAACATCTACGTCCACTTTATATTTATATTACCCAGTAATTGATCCTTTTGATCTTTTACATTTTTTTTTCTTTTTTTGCGCCATATCAATCATAGTAGATTATCTATATATAACAATTTTGCATATTTGTGTAACATTCATGCAGGATACGTATCGGTTACCACATAGCTAAGGGTCTAACATTTTTCATATATAGCCCCAACGGGTCTCTATATAACTAATACATATTCGCATGACAGAATTATCCATGGAGACACCTAAAAGTACCGTGCTGTAGCTTATGCCACAGCAGCTAGGGTTAATATATAGTATATATTGCAGTATTGGATTATAATCACTATTTAAAAAAAAAACGCGGGAAGAGAGCCAATATGTGGCACCAATGCACAAAATTTCCGTGTGATGTAACTGCCTTTTTGCCAGCAATTTCTAATATAAAATTTCCGACTAACGAAAGTCGAGGCGGAAATTGTCTTATGTAAACAGAAATCACCAGCATTTTACAATAGGTTTTGTGATTTGTGTAGCATAGCGAACATTCATTGTAATTGGTTAGATTTTGTTGATCATCTCGTGATTTTATTTGCTAATCACCTAATC